CCCAAATCCCACTCTGGACATTCAGAGGAGGAGGAGAGCGTGTGCACGTGCTCACACGTACTCACACATACTCACACGCACACACAGCTCCCGGGTCCACCCCCCGCTTCTGAAAAGTGGGCCAGAAGATGGGCCTCCTTTGAAAATCAGCCCGGCGCAGAAAAACGGCTGCGACAGCACAAAGCCAAGATTGGATCAGCGACGGCCCGACTGCCTGGTGACGGTTACAAATGACCTGATGTGGAAGAGACAGGCTCAGATGTGTGTACACAACGGCGGCTCTGCACCCACGGCCGGGCTGCTGGGCAAGTGGCTCCGAGTCCACTTCAGAACATGCCCAAGCCCAGGAAAGACACGGGCTTGGCCATGCCAGCACATGGAGCCCGCCTGTCCAGGCTGGTCACTTACCCAGGGTGAGACCAGTCACTGCCCAAATACCCAGCACCTGGCAGAATGTCCCCAACATGAAGCAGAGCTTGTCATTTCTGAGTACTACTTTCATAATGGAAGGAAGAAGAATCCTCTTTTCCACAACCTCAGAAGGGTGGATCGGAGAGGGCCACCCCGCCGTGCCCAGCTCCACAGTCACTTTAGGAAGCGGCCCCTGTCCCACTCCAGGGTGGGGGGCAACTCCCCTTCCTGGGCTCTCAGGCACCTGGCACTGAGCCTTACCTTGCTGTGACTGCCACCGAAGCCCTGTGTGAGCACACTGACTCCAGGGAGGCCTCACGGCTCACCCAGGGGACCGGCATGGAGGAAGCCGGGCCACGCGGCTCACCCAGCGGATGCTCGATAAATCCCACGGGGACAACAGAGGGAAGGGTTGGAACCTTTGTTCTCCTGGCCCCTTGTGTGGCCCAGGGCTCACAGTTCTCCCTGGTCACCTGGTCTGGCCCTTGGCCTCTCTCCACCACCCCCACCACCCCATACGCACACCCCCTGGGAACCCCAGGCCCTGCAAACTGAGAGCGCTCATCAAGGCGGGCGGGGGGCCGGGCTGTGAGTGGTGGGCAAGAGCCTCCTCTCGGCCCTGGTTACCTGCCAATGGGGCAGGGGGCAGGAGGTGGTGCATACCCCAGCCCCTGGCTGTGTCACGGAGGCTCAGGGTCCAGAAACTTCTGGAAGAGGGAAAGGGCCTCCACTTCACGAGGCCTGGGCAGGGCCGCTGGGTGCTGTGCCACGGGGCACCAAGCGCGTTATTTGTTTACCCAAGGCTCCTGTCCTCTTGGGGGGAGCAGGGCCTCAGGGGGGAGAGAAAAGGGATTTGTCCCTGGCTACCTCCTGGGGTCTGGATGGGAACCTGGGTCTCTGGAACTCTAGAGCCAGGACACGGCCATGCTGAGGGTGGGCCGGGTTCCAACTGGGCACTCAACCCACAGGACAGGGGTGGCCCCTCCTGGGGTGGGCATTGGGTCACCTGACCACTGCCCTGCCCTGAGTGGCTGCTGGCATGACTCTAGGCCAACTCAAGGCTGATGTCAAAGGGGCCACCCGGAGGCCACCACCACAATAGCATCCTGCTGGCTTTAGTCTAGCCCCACGAGGGACTGTCCCCCATGGTCCTACCAGCCACGCCTCCCTCAGTGGCCAGGGTGGGGACTAGGCCAGAATGGATTGTGCATGGCGTGGTGCCTGCTCGTCACCGGCCTGGGTCACAGGTGACAGCACGGGGCTGAGAAGGCTGAAGGGGTTTGCCCAGAGTCACACAGAGCACGGGGCAGGGCTGCTGTGGACCCTCAAGCCCCAGGACCTGAGCCCCCCGCATCGCTGCAGTGATTCTCCACCCCCAGGGACAAGGCCCCAGGTACGCTCAGGCGAGAGCAGGGAGACGGCTCCGAGGGGCACGTTCGCCAAACCCCCCCGAGTCCCTGAGCATGCCAGGCTGGGGACAGAAGAGTCGGACACGTAGGGATGCACAGGCAGGAGCCCAGCACCCCCAACCCTGGTCTTCACGGAGCCCTGAGGAGAGGGGCTGTCCCCAGGCCAGGAAAGGGGACACCTGAGCCCCTCTGAAGCGTATTCCAGTGCCTGGTACCGAGCTGAAGGGCACCCAGCAGGGCACAGAGGGGAAGCCAGAGCCCAAAGCCACCTGGTAAGGGTGGGCTGGAGCGAGGAGTCGACCCCACATGAGGACCATGACCACAGGAGGGCCACCTGCAGGGCAGAAGTGGCCTCCCGGGTGATTGAGAGAGGGCCACAGGACGGAGGGGCCTCCAAGGCCAGGCTGTAGCTTTGGCACATCACCCGCGGACCAGGAGCCACCCAGAAGGCACAGTTGTCACAGTACAGACTCGGGCGCTGGACCCTCTAGGCTGCGCCCCAGCCAGCTCTTCTCTTTGCATGCTGTGCAGCATGGGGCGGGCCCACTAGCCTCTCTGGGCTTCAGCGTCTCTGTCTGCATAGCGGGGCTCACGGTACACCTAGCTCCAGCTCAGCGCGGAGGGACTCCAGCCTACACCCAAGTTTGTCAAGTAGAAAAAAGGCAGCGATTGAAGGGCAGGGCACGGGCTTCGTGCAGGGCCACTCGCCTCCGCGCACGGGCCCTGGCTCCGTCCCCAACGCTGCAGGAAAAGAATCAGGAAACCGATGGCCCCAGGTTCAGGGCCAATCTGGTCACTGGGCTGGCATGGTCCAGGTGGGTGCCAGGCCTGGGGACAGGATGGCGGCGGTGCCTCCCAGCCTGGCTGGGGCGCGCGCCAGCACCAGCGTGCGTGCGCGTCTGTGTGTGTTGCCGCGGCGGCTTCTATGCAAACATGTTAATTTGTTTTCATTTTGTGTTTTTTTTCCCTCGCAGGATAATTGGGTGAGTTTGAAGTCTTGGCGAGGCTGCTGATTATAGCTATTTGGGTGGTGCCCTCGCGGGCGCGGGCCCTGCCTCCTGCCTCGGGCGGGGAAGGCGCGGCTGGGGGTGTGAGGAGGGGCTCCGGGGGTGCAAGTGGCTTCTGAGGGCTCTTTCTGGCCGGGGATGGGGAAGACGAGCCATCGGGGACCCCCGACGTGCCCCTCACCCAAGCACCACGGGAATCCCCTGCCCACACACGTCTTTCTTTGCCCTGTTGCTGCATTAAAAAAAAAAAAAGAAGAAAAAAAAAGTGGTTGCCAACATTAAAAAGAAAAAAAAACAACAAAACTAAAATCCTACCTCAATTCTCATTGCGAGGTCTCTTAGGGAAGAAAATTGTCAGCTTTGAAAGCACCGAGGCCGTGACTCCCAGGGACGGGTGCACCTGCCTTGGCCTTGGCCTTGGGCTCTCGGGCTCAGGAGCTGCAGCAGCCCAGCGGGTCCCTGGCTCTCTAACGATCCCTCCTCATCTGCAACCGGGCCCCAGGAGCCCCGAGAGACTGTGAAAGGGTCAGACCCCCTCTGGACACGTGGCCTGGTCACTGACCTGTTTCTCCCCCTAGGTGGGGGCGGGGGCTGACAACATCTTTACTGGGACTTTGTTGAAGGCCTACTGTGAGCCACGCTCTGCACAAAGACCTCGGTGTCTTAGTCTGTAGGAGCGACTACTGCACCTCACCCTTGGGGCCTGCGGAGTGCCTGGCCCCTGCTGGCACACAGTGGGCCCACAGCAGAGCAGGTGAGTGGCCGCCTGAAGCTCCTCTCAGAGCCAGTCCACCAAACAAGAGGCCCACACACAAGAGCAGGAAGTGGCCGAGAGGGGACAGGCTTCCTGGATGGTCCCCTGGGGCTGGGGGGCCACCTGACAGAGGGCTCGGGCTTCCCCGGTCACACGGGGTGGCAGCTGGCAGCACTCCCTCCCCCACGAAGAGCCACACAAAGGGGCCTCTATTCCTCTGTGTGCATTTGTCCCAGCCAGCGGGCCACACCACCCTCTCCTCCTCTGCTGGCTGCCCAGCCTGGCCGGAGCCTACACAAAGGCCAGTGTGTCCTTGCCGGGCCAGGCTGGCCTCAGAGGACCCTGTCCACAGAGAGCCGAAAGCTCAGAAGGCAGAGCACAGATGTGTGGCGAGGCCTCACGCCCAGGTTAGCGAGGCAGGGAAGACTCTGGGTGCCAAGCCTAGGTGCAGCTCTGCCCCCAACTCCACCTGGTAGCTGTGTACCCGTGGCTTGGTTTGGACCTCGGTTTCCTCATCTGTACAATGGGCACTGTGACAGCAACATGGCCAACCTTCTGGACTGTCAGGGGGTTCAGAGAGGTGATGAGGGGCTTGGTGTGAAATTTGGAAAGGGATGGTGGGCAGGAAGCCCTGGGGACTGACCAGCCATGTCCTCAGCATCTCCTTCCTCAGTCCCACCCCAGAAAGCTGTGGGCCCAGCCTCCTGGGAAGGGAGACAGTGCCCCTTTCTAGATCCCTCTATCCCCACCCTCCACCCCGGCAAGGTCCACGTCTATTGGTGCTGACCCTGAGGCTCTGAGGTCTCTTCTGCCCCAGGCCATCTCCAGGCAGTGGGACGACAGGGGCTACTGTTTATTAAACACCTACTGTGTGCTGGAACTAAACCCACGGCTACCCTGGGAGGATGAGGCAGGGTGGTACAATGGTTATGGACTCGCACTCCCTATAGCTCAGAGGGACGGTTTGCCCTCAAAGAGTTTAGGCAGCAACCATGTAAGACAACATAGACAACTTGGTGATGCTCCCAGGCCCCCGCTGGCTTGAAATCCTGACCCCCAGGCTGTCCCCCACTGCACAGGGGAAAACCAAAGCCCTGTTGGTAAGTGCCTGATGTGACGGGGCAGCAACAAACCCCGAGCGATCATCCTAGGGGACATCCTAGGGGACTCGCAGCCAGGCCTGGTGGACCCACTATTCTATGTGAAGAGACCCACTATTCTATGTGAAGAGCTTACCGATTCTTTCCAGCAGGGGTTTAATTTCCAGATGTCCCAGGCTCTAGGGGCCACACAGCCTGCAGAGCGTGCGGTAAGAGGCCCAGGCCCCCCCAACTCACCTCCCTGGCTGACCCCAGGAGTCCCCGTCCTGCCACACAAAGTCCCCCTCCCTCCCACCTGCTCTGGGCGGCCAAGTGCACAGCGGAACACCGAGTCATTAAGCCTGCGCGCACCATCCGGGCGCCCGGGAACACTGTGGAGTTTCCCTTTTATGTTTATAGCAATTGTATGAAAATGTGCAACATGGCGCGCACCAGCTGACAAATGAGACGAAACAGACAGGGTTCCGGGCCGGCTTTTTTCCGGGCCTGATTGGCATTAATTGTGAGCGTTTACAAAGCACAACTCGGAGCCTGACACTTGCTTCAAGCGAACGTTTCCTTCTAATAGTTTTAATGATTACAACAGGAGCTGGTGATCACCACCGGGCGGGGAACGGGCCTGGGCTCCTCCGGGGCCAGGGGACAGAGCCCGTGCCCCACTTTTCCTGCCTCCTGCCACCTGCTGTGGGTGGGCTGTACCCAGTGCCCAAGTGGGGAACACGGACTCCTGCCCAGGGCCTGGCTGCCGCACTCCCAAGCTGCCAGTTTATAAGGCTCATGGTGAAGCCCCCAGGCCCAGGGGAGGGGGCAGGGAAAGGAGAGAGGCGGGGCAAGTCTGGCCTGGCTCTGTGGAGACAGGGTCTTCGTTTCCTCATCTGTACGACAGGGACAGGAAGGACCCTCACGAACCCTGGCTACTGTTTTCATATTGTGTGACCTCGGCCGAGTCCCTCCCCAACTCTGAGCCTGACCCTCCTCACCTGTCATGTGCAGGGCAGGACCTGGCCAGCTGGAAGTCCCTTCGACCAGGCTTCCGGTCCCAGCTCTGGCTTCTCTTCAGCTGCATGACCTTGAGACAGTCCCTTCCTGTCCCCAAGCTTTGGTCTTCCTCGCGGGGAGAATGGTAGACTCCAGAGAGAACGGCAGGAGAATCCCTGAATCGCTGGCCAGCCGAGGCCCGTGTCCCCTCCCTGGCTCATTCACTCCCTCAGGTGTTCCCACAGCCATCGAGCGTCCTCATCAGGGGCCTGGGCTGTCCCAGGGAACAAAGCAAGGACCCTCACTCACAAGGACCCCAGCCTCACGGTGGGGGGGGGAGAGGATAGATACAAACGCACCCCGAGGGCAGCAATCCATCAACTCTCACCCCTGATTGACGGAGAGAGAAACTGAGGCAGAGAGAGAGAAAGAAAGAAATAGTCTGAAGTCACCCGGCTGGCATGTGGCACTGCGGGGGGTTAAACCCACGCCATAGCCTCAGAGGGAGTTCTGCCAAGACCAGCCCTCAGGCCCTGGGGGAAGTGCTGTCCGAGGGCCCCCTGCGGATGGCCTTTCCATCCCGGGTGGGGCCGTCTGCAGAGTCAGGCTGAGCACCAGGATAAGAGGTGCCACTGAGAAGGAGGGAGTCAGAGGCTTGGGGAGCCCCATCCTCCTGGGGTTCCATTTCCTGTGCTAGAAATGGGAGGGGAAGTGCCCCCTCCAACCCCAGTCATTCATACATTTCCACCCAGTGTTGCTCCCCGGGCTGAGGCCACCAGAGGCCAGGGGAAGAGCATCAGCCAGGTGGCTGGGAAAGGCTGAGCCCGGCCCAGGCCCAGGCCCAGAGAAGGTCTCACTTCTGGGAAGGCACTTGCTCTGTGCTTGGCTCCAGCCAGAAAAAAATATCCTGCCTTCTGGAAGCCCTCAGAAAAGGCTGCCATATTTTTTTGGAGTTAGTCTGAGAGTGAGATGGGGGGGGGGGAGAGGGGGGCACTTTTTCCTCTTGCATATGGTGGCACAGATGGGCCCATGATCCATAAAAACTGTTTGCAATTAAACTCCCACTCTGCATGGCTGGATTTGTCAGTTATCTGAACCATGAGCTCCGCAGTGACAGAGGCGGCACAGAACAAGGCGGCACAGGACAAGGCGGCGCAAGATTCCTCAGGACCAACCTGCTGGGGAGGGGCGGGGGAGGCTGGGGTCCTGGCATGGTGGGGTGTGGCAGCAGCCGGGCCAGCTCCCCTCTCTGGGCATCCCTTGGCCTTCGCCCCAAGTCGGGTACAGCCAGGCAGTGAGGTGGGGCTTGGCAGGGCTTCCCTGCCCAGCGGGGACTTGGCCGGCGCGGGGTGCCCGGCTGTGGGGTAATGAGCGTGGAGAGAGTACGGCTAATCACACTCGGGACCTGCCAGGGAAGAGATCTGGGACCCAGGACAGGCAGGAGGGTGGGAAGGCAGCGCACACCATGAAAGGGGCCCACCAGGCAGAGTGCCCTGGCAGGTTCCGGGTGGAAGAGCCAGAACCTCTGGCCCAGTTGGCAGAAGCGATTGAGGGCAGTACCAGGAAGGGCGCCAAGGGCTAGAACTGGCTCCTCCCTCACCCCTAGAAGAGTCCACCCGGCCTCCTGCGTCCCTTAGAAGGCAGGTAGGGCCATCAAGGCAGGCACTAAGAATCTCTGAATAGCTGAATCTCCCCAGCCAAGCTGATGGCCTCCGCACGGGCAGCCTTCTCCCGGGGCTCCCAGAAAGTGGACGAGGGGCCGCACCCCCTGGGCTCAAAATGCCCGCTGGCCACCCCAGCCGCTGCTGCCCTGGGAGGCTTGCTTGTTTGGGTTAACAAATGCATCATTTGGATTTGGGAAATCCTGAGATCGCTCATAATTGTTCCCCGATGAAAAGAAATAAGGCCCTCATGCCCCCTTCCCCCGCCCCCTCCAAGCTGGGAAAGAAAAGTCATAAAAATAGCTTGTTATCTCACCTATTGAGGCTCCGACTGGATGTTACTGCTAATTGGGTATAACATCCTTGTCTTGTTCTCGCAGAAGCTAAATCAAGAAAGCGCCACTGCTGCGAACTAATTATATCTCCAGCCTGCAGCCTGCCGCTTGTCTCTCCCTTTATTGAGTTAAAAAATGGTCACGAACCTTCATCTTTCATCCCCCCAAGCGCTGGGCCCATGCTGCCCGCCAGGCGTGGCTAGTGAGGCGTGGACAGCCCACAGGAAGGTCTGGAAGGGTCTCGGGGAGCAGCAGAGTGCTGAGAGGAGAGTCCTGCCAGGGTACCTGCGTGTCCCTCGCCACCAGGCCTGCTGCTCCACTGTCCCTGGAGAAAGGAAACTGGTCTCTCTCCCTCCTGGCAGCTGAGCCCCTGGGGAGGCAGGTCAGGAGCATCTTAGTCGGGGGAGCATTCACTCTTTTTGAACAGACACTTTTGGGGCGCCTGCCTACTGCGTTCCATGTTAACACTCCCAGTGGGTCAGAGGCAGATAGCCCCACGCACCCCACCCTGGGTTCAGAGATTCCCACAGATGGGACCGCATGGCTCCTCTGTTCAAACAGCAGCTGTGGCACCTTATGGTGAGTGGGCAAAGTCCAAATGCCAAGGACAGCTGTGGATCTTTCCAAAGTCCCCCCTCGTCACATGCTGGCCTCGTCAGGCCACACGCTGGTCCCTCGGCAGAAACACTTGATGCTCTGCCTCTTGGGCTCTTCCCTCCACCCAGGCCACCCTGCCCAGCTCTGTCTGCTAGAAGCCCACCAGCCCTCAGGGTGTCACAAGGACCGACACCTTGTCCAGGCTTGCCCTGTCCGCCTGCCACCCCCAGGCTGGGGACTTTGAGACAAGTGAAGGCCAGTTCAGCCGCTCCGCGGGTTCACAAACCCACTCTGCTTAACCGTGCTGAGCCTCGGTTTCCTCATCTCTCCATGGGCTAGAGGTGCCGAGAGGCTCTGTCCACTGGGGAGTCAGAGGGCGCCCACCAAGGACCTCTCTCTCAGGAGCAGCTCCATGAATGCTAATTGCAAATAAGTTCCAGACTATAGATGTTTGAAATCTGCACATGGACAGACCTGAGTCAGAACTGGAAAATGGTAATTGACTCTCACACTTCAATGGTTTTCGTGGCTGAAGAACCCCTCACACCCTTAGAGAAGCTCCCCCAGATTCCCTTGCTCTGATTACTCTGGTCCTCCAAACCACATGAAGGTGGCAGAGGGACCCGGGAGCGCATCAAGGCCAGGCAGGCGACCGGTTTCAGCTCATAGGCCCTGCTGATTGATTGGTGCTGCCTGCCTAGAGCCCTGGAGAGAACCCAAGGTCAGGGGAGGAACTCAGCGAGGGAAGAGGGCAGCAATTGATTGGCAATGTCTGTCAAGGGCACAGCAGTATAAGGGAGGTCACGCCTGCCTGGACTTGCCATCAGCTGACATCTCTGGAAGGACATGGCTGAGGCTGGGGTCAGGTGGGTGTGACTTATTCAAAGGCATGCAGCTCACAAAGGAGACAGCTGGCCCCAAACAGGCTCCCTCTGTGCCTGCTCAAGGACCCTCCCAGAAGAGTACCTCTCAAGTTCAGTGCCCTAAACTGGGTGCAGTGGCACACGCCTGTCATTCCAGCAGCTCGGGAGGCTGAGGCAGGAGGATGGCAAGTTCAAAGCCAGCCTCAGCAAAAAGTGAGGCACTGAGCAACTCAGTGAGACCCTGTCTCTAAATAAAATACAAAATAGGGCTGGGGAGGGTCTCAGTGGCCGAGTGCCCCTGAGTTCAATCCCCAGTTACCTGCCTCCCCCCCAAAAAATGTTCAGTGCCCTCAGAGGAGGAAGAGAGGCCAAAGTCCTGTGGACAATGAAGGGGAGTGTGTTGACCTTGTCATGGGGCCCAGGACCTGGGTGGTAACTTCATCTTGCTGATCCTCCATTTCTTCCTTTACACAATAGGAATAAACACACCCATCGCAGAGTGCTAGAGGATTACATGAGAACAAAACGCCAGGGCAGGGAGTTGGGTGGCCCAAGGTACATGTCAACAGTGTCCCATGATTCTCCTAATAGGCAAGTGTTTACACGGAGTCCCAAAGCCAGCCATTCCAAGTGCCTCCCCCTTCGGGGAGCCTGCATGGTCACCCCAGGTAGTAGTAAGCTTCCACCTCCCAATTTCTAGCCTACTTTGAGAGTCCGGGGTCCCCAAGGGCAGGGACCACATCCCTGCTGGGTCCCTGCTCCTAGCCGCACACTGTGGACTTCTCTGTGGTGGATCCGCCCCCTCCACTCTGTCTGTAGCTTCTCCCTCGGTGCATGCCACCTTTCAAAGTAACTGGGGCTCTTGTTCATCTCTGTGTCCCCAGCACCTGGCAGGGAGCCTGGCAGGGAGCCTGGCACGGAGCAGCAAACCTCTGAATGCACGCATAAAGAGCAGAAATAGCCGTTCCTGGCTCCTGCCCACTTCCTCTCTGCACTGCCACGCCTCACACCCTCCCAGGTGGACCCTGGGCCCATCTGACAAACTGGGAGACTGAGGTCACACAGAGGTGGGAGCCCAAGCTCAGGCCTTGGGAGGACCACATCCTCGGCCTCCTCCAGTGCCCAGTTCAGGCCTGGACATTGGAGGCAGGTGTCCCTGCCCTGGCAGTGAATCCCGGGGCCGACAGCTGGTGGCTGACCTCCCCCGCCTCTCTTCCTCCAAGGGAGGCCCTTCTCCCCATGGATTCTGGGTCATTAAGTTCTGTGTCATTAAGTCCCTGTCCAGGGGAGCCTGTTCACAGCCAGCTATGGCCTGGCCCCCTGACCTCCCAGGCCTTTGTCCCCTGTGCTCTCTGCACAATAGCAGGGGCTCCCAGGGCCCCAAACAGCTGCTGCAGCTGGAACAGTGACTTGCTGTGGGGCCAGGGGGATGGCCAGGGCCTGTGTCTGAGCCCATGTCACCCAGCTTGCTGTGCCCCTCCCTCCTCTCTGTCCCTCTCTGTCCCCAGAGCTCAAAGAAACTAGACACACAAGGTCTTCCCATCTAGAAAGCCATAAGGCAACTGCAATCACCCTCTTCAACAAGCAAGGGACCAGAGAGGTGAGGTAACTTGTCTGAGGACACACAGGCAGCAACAGCGTGGGAGCCCAGGTCTGAGTGTGTTCCAAGCCCCCTGCTGACTCTACAGCACCTGGCACCCAGGCATAGGGCAGCCCTTCCCCCAGCACACCTTATCAGCCTGGCCTCTGAGAGGTGTCCTCCTCCTCCTCCGGACCACATCCACTCCTGAGCTTGGCCCTCAAGGCCCCCAGTACCTCCTGGCTTATCACCTTTTTTGACCTCTGCCCTTTGATAAGCTCCCCCCTGCCTTTCCTCATCCCTTCCATGGGGGCAAATCCACTCAGTCCTCAGAACCCAGAGTCCCAGCCCCTCAGTGAGGAGCCCTCGACGGCCAGCTGCAGTCTGCCCTCCTCCCAGCCCCATGCCAGTTCTGCCCAGGGTCCCCGCTGGCTGCAGGGAGGCTGTGGGCCTTCAGAGCTTTGCCACCTGACCATGGCCAGCACCTGGGTACCGTGGCCAGGCTGGACAACAGGAAGCAGGAGAGAGGCTGGGGAGCTGGACCCCAGGGCTGCCCATGCCACCCCTTCCACCCTGACCTCATTCTGCTACTCCCTGGCTGTGTGACCTTGGGCAGTGACATGCCTACCCTGTGCCCATTTCCTCCCTAGTAAAACGGGGATATCAGCACCCTGGAAGGTACCCGACCACTGCCCTCTATCAGGCACCATCACCATTATTCCCGTGTGTTCCCCAACTAAGAGAGCAGCCCACGGAGGTAGGTACCTATGGGTCAGGGCTGTATCTTCTTGGCAGGTGGCTCCGGCCCAAGGCCTCCACTTCTCCATCTCTAAAATGGCACTAACTCCGCCCACAGGAATGCCAGCTCCCTTTCAGCCTCCTGGCCTTTTGTTCGAGGCCCTCAGATGTCTCTGGCAACTGGGGAATCAATGGTCCAGGTGGAAGGAATCCATCCCCCCCTTCTCAGCATCCCCCTCCCCCTCGGAACCCGCCTCCCCACCCCCAGCCCGGGCAGACTAAAATAGTCATTAGGCAGATTTCAAAAGATGTCAGTAGCTTATAATTATAGTCGACATCCTTCTGAGATAAAAGTGATTACCTTGGATGCAAATCACTTAGCAACCAATCAGGGCGGCGGCCGGCAGCGCCGCGCAGCCCTCCTCCCCGGCGCCCGCACAGGCGGGGAAAGCGCACAATAGCTCTTGACACGCAAATGGGTTAACACAATAAAGGCGGCTCCGGCCGCTGCCGGGGGAGAGCCGCAATTCCCGGGCCGCGGGAGGTAATAAAGCGGCCCTTTTGTGCGCGCCTCCTCGTTCTCACCCCCGCCCGGGCCCAGAGGAGTCGCCGCCTGATTGAATTACGGTTCATGAATATGAGCAGCTAGCTCGCCTCCTGGCTGCGAGGGAAGGGAGGCAGGGGAGGCAGGGGAGGCCCCGGCTGGGCCCCAGCCCCGCCAGAACTCAGATGGGAGCCACGTGTGTGCACCACGTGGGGGCCCCCCAGGGTGACTTGAGGTGCCCTGGTGCAGAGCAGGCCAGAAGGGAAGGTAGATGCTTGCCTTGGGCTGAAGCCTACCACCTTTCACTGGGAGAGTCATGCAAGGCCCTGTTCTGAGGATAAAGCTAAGAGGAGCCATGAGGCTGTGCATTTATGGAGCGCTTACTGTATGCTGTAGCCTGTACTAAGCCCTCAGTTGAATCCTCATCATAACCCTCGGCAATGGGTGCTGTTAGCAGCTGCTGCTCACCGAAGAGGAAACCAACTCAGAGGCAATGCTACTCACCCAAGGTCACACAGTCAGCGAGTGCGGGGCAGGGTTCCTGGGAGCCTCAGGTTTCTCTACAAGGGGTGTAAGCAAACGGGCCTGGCCCAGTTCAGGTCCTGGTCCACAGCAACCTGGAGGCTCAGAGGAACGTGGAGGCGCTTATGCAGAATTAGCCAAGTGAGAAGGATTACTGGGGATGGGGATGGGAAGCCAACCTTGAGAGGAGATTGCCCAGAGGACTGAGGAGACCTCCCTTTCTGGCCCAAAAGGATGTCCAGGGTGACGGTCCCTGTGGAGAGAGCCTTCCCTGCTTAAACCTCCCCTGTGACCCGAGCTCCAGGACACCCCTCCTGGCCACCCTGTCCCTACTGAGCTCAGCAGGCTCTGGGCCCACAGGCATCTCCGCTGCTCCCAGCCCCTCCCACTGACTGGAGCAGCCCTAGGGGTCCTTTGGAGACTCCTATGGCACCCGCTGCATGGGGCCCCTCCCACTCTTGTGCTAGGTCCAGTGTCCCTGCTGTCTGCATCGCTGCTTCTGTCTGCATCCCTGCTTCCCCACCGGCTCCACCCACCAACAGGGTCCCTGGGATGGCTGAGGGTGGCCTCACCACCCAGGGCTGGAGAGGGCTCCGGTGGTTAGGGGGGGCAGGCCGCCTACAAGGCCCAGGGCAGAAGCTGCCATTCTGCCCAACACGGGCCTGCGGGTCAGGGGGAACCAGGATTGAAACCTGGGTTTTGGTGTGGATAAGGCATCCTGGTGGAACCAGCCTCCCTCATTACCAATTACCAAGAGCTCCTAATTCTTGCACAGACCCCTTTCCAGCAAGCAGGGGAAGCTCCCCTGGACCCATGCAAGAGGGCGGGGAGGTCCTGGAGATCTGGAGCCAGGGCAATTCAGGGCCAAACCTCTGCAGCTACCTGGCTGAGCACCTGTAGACCATCCCTTTCTTGATTTGAGCCTTAGTTTCCTCATCTATCAAATGGGCCACAGCTCATAAGCCACTTCAAGGAGATCCTGGAGTAAAATGCCTGGCACACAGGAAGACGCCAGAGAAGCTGGTACTCCCCACCCCATTCCTCGTCTGGCACCGACTGCCAAGCCCAGGGAGCCAAGGGAAGGGAACAGAAGGAATTGCCCAATTCTGACAGCCCTTCCCTCCGCCTTGGCTGAGGAAGTGTAAATACTCGAGGAGGGCCTCCAACTGCCTGTTTGTGGATCTCTGGCGCACACTCTGAGTTTGTTTCTAAACTGGGAAGCGTCGAGAGGCAGTGCAAACAGCCCTTCTGCCCACATCTCCCCCAATCTGCTATTATTGCTCCTGTGTCCTCTGAAGCTTGTGTGTTTAACGACACCATTTCAGCTGGAAATACCATCTCCCTGCCAAGCCCCCAAAAGCAGTTCCGCCAGTATTTATTAGACCTGTTAATCTGGCTAGAGTCTGGTAGGAGAGCAGGGGAAATGCTCACTGCACGGAGACAGGGGCCTCGCTTCTAAGAATGGCCCCCCAAATACACTTCTGGGCTCTCACCCCGCCTCACACGGCTGAAGCCATGACACGGTTTTCAAAGCTTTTCCTAGAAATGTGGTCGCAGCAGTTGCACCCACAGCCGACGCTGGCAGTAACTGCTGGAAGGGACATGGGAGAATCTCCGAGCCCCCAGCAGGAAGCTGGCTGGGGGTTCTCCGGGTCTTTGTAAACTAAGGGCCAGTGACAGGGTGTGGAGGGGAAAACAGGGTGGGTGCCCTCTGCTCATCAAAACCGGCCCTGGCCGAGACAGATTCAGACCTTACCATTGACTTGTCCTCCGTTCACGTAATGAGCATCCATCACACTAGGCTTGTCAAAATCATCTTAAACACCAAAGGGAGCGTGGGACAGGCTGGGCCAAGCCCTTTCCCTTGGGGTTGGACAGCAGGGGATCCCCCGGACTTGGAGCATGGCAGGCAGCGCTTCCTCTGCACCTTCCCTGGCTGGGAGCAGGCATTCACATTTTCCTGAGCGGAAGTAGCCTGTTGGAAGGCTGAGGGCCAGCATCTCTCTAGGGACCCCGGGAGCTTTAGCCTGCTGGCTAGGTATATGGTGGGGTTCAGGGAGGCCTCCTCTTCAGCATCTTGTTTGAAAGCAGAAGTTACTCTATCTGGGAGTCCCAAACCCCCAGGCACTGCCAGTCTACATGGGCAAAGTTCTAAATACCTGTCCTTGGAGGGAGGAGCATCAGCAGGGACAGCTGGCACGGTCTCCCTCCCCCACCTCATGTGGTGGCTGGGGATTTAGGTCAGAAGACTGCAAGGGTGGGGGAGCCAGCCTTTACCTCTCCACTACCCAAAGGCATCTGGCCCTGCTTCCTCCAGCCTTGGGTCAAGGCAAGTCTCATTGCCATGACCACTCCAGTGACATCAGAGGCTGGGCAGTGACGTCTCCTCCCAGGGCCACTGAACACCAGGTGTCTCTGCAAGTTATTTATTGGAACACTTGCCAGAATGGGGGGAACCCTACTGTCCGTCCACAGAGGGCAAAATCTTCCGTGTAGCCACCGTAGCCAGGACCTCATACCTCCCTTCTGACCCTCCCTTTTAAGATCTCAGGCGATGCTGTGGAGACCCTCAATGCTGTCCCAACCTGGGTGCCCCCTCATTTCCTCCAAGACGAGGGAGTTCCCTGGGGAATTTTCAGACATTGGAGCCACTACCTTTGTCTGTTAGCTTTATGGGTGGAGTGACCTTTCCTCTCTGGCATCTGCACTACCTTAGTCCCGGGGGACACCGGGGGACACCAGGGGACCCCAGCCTCCACTCAAGTCAGCTGACCAGTCCAAACAAGTTGTGGGTGGACGAGAAAGGGACAGGCTAGGGGCGCAGCGCCCCCAACAATATAGGTGCCCTTTAGGTCTAGTCGGGCTGCCCTGATACCAAAAGGTGCCCCCAGCTCTAGCCCGGAATCCCGCCCCTCGCAACTCACCGGATCAGCCAGGGGGTCGTAGGGCACCCGGTCTCAGCGGCCTCTACGCTCCACTCGACAGGTTGCAGCCATGCAGAGGTGGCAGAGGCTGCCCGAGGAAGCCCCGCTCGGGAGCCGATGCTTCTCTCCGGGTGGGAAGGGACGCTGTCGGTGAGAGATATCCAGACTCCGGAGCGCGCCGTCCGAAGTCCGGGCTGGGAGGTTCTCTGCTCAGCGAGGGTCGCTTTCGCCCGGGACCCGGGCCGCGAGGGCGCTCAGGCTGCGCATCCTCGCCAGAGTCTGTGCT